GTAGGCTACGTCTACACTGGCCCCTTTTCCGAAAGGGGCATGCTAATTTTCAACTTCAGAATAGGGAAATCTGCGGGAGATTTTAAATCCCGCGGGGATATTTAATAAAGATGTCCGCCGCTTATTCTCCCACATCTAAGTACTTTGAAGTAGGAATAAGAGAGCTGTCAAGCAGTCTAAAAAAATATTCTTGTCCTGAACAACCAACGTAACATTCACTCCAAAATTAGTATGCAATCCTAAGCCACCTTCCTTATTTTCAAAATATCAGAAAGACATGAAATTGAGTTAGTCTTACACATTCTCGCCTAAAATTTTATCTCCTGCCCACCTAGATTAGTATGAATCTTAATTCATACTCATTGTACAATTATTGGAATACAAAGTAGTAGGCTACGTCTACACTGGCCCCAGTTTCTGTAATGAATAAATGCAAATTTACAATATAGACATCATATACTCACAAAAACCTAAAGTGTTAACTTGTGGAAACTGGACAATCAGTTCATTCTTTCCACAATCTACATTAATAAAGAAAAGGAAAAACGACTCCATCTAAGATATCATCAGTTCTGGTTTTAGTGTGGTCAGTATAGTAGAGCATGTTATCTGGTAATCATTTAATGTTATGACTGTCAAGATTCATCCAACAGTGCCAGAAAGATTGTGTCCATATTGCTATAAAGTCTGATTGTGATGGATACACTGGAAGAGAACCAGTGTAGACTGATTTAAATCAAGGCAATTTAAATAATAACCAAACGCCAAAACATTATAAAACTGACAGGAGAACCTCCACCCTGCAAAATTAAGCTCCCTTCTTACTAAAATCCTCTAGAGATTATCTGTGTGCATATGTATCCAGAGCTGGTGACTTTTCTTGGATACAGAAGAGGATAGTCATAAAGACCAAACTATCTGCTGCATTCGCTTTTGTCACTGATGACTAAGTCACCATAAAAATTAAAGCTCCAAAGCAAGCACAAAAAACAATCAAGAAAGTATGACAGGTGGATCTCCTTGCTCCAGCACCCTAGGGACCTGACTGGTCCCAAATGATGGAGTTTGCTGGACCAGGAGAGGTCAATTCTGACCCCTTTGCTGCTGGCCACTAGGCTCTGGCCACCTGGCAACATCTCTGGTCCAACAGTGCCATGGACATTACTGGACCAGAGATGACGTGGTCCAGTGTCATCTCTGGCAGCCTCCAGGCTCCACCAGGCTTCCCACACCCGGCCTGTTGGCCCACCTGCCTCACAGTTCCTGTTGCCAGCCACTGCGGATATCTGGTCCAGTAATGTCCATGGCACTGTTGGACCAGAGATGTTACCAGAAGTAGGGTTGCCAGATGGTCTCCCCAAAAATACCGGACTCCCAGCCACGCCCCCCGCCCTGGCTAAGCTTCTGAAGCACCCAGAACGGCGTTTGCGGCCCCACCTCCAAGCTGGGACTCCCAGGCCGGGAGGCGGGGCCACCATTGGCGCTGGGAGCCTGTGATTGTGCAGAAGCCTGGTAGGGGTGGGGGGGAGGGGCTGCAGTCCCCACCAGGCTTCTGCGCAATCACAGGCTCCTAGCACTGATCGTGGCCCCGCCTTCCAGCCACTCCCCCCGCCCACTCCAGGCTTCCATCCTGTGAGCAGCATTGCACAAGTCCGGTATTCTCCGATTTTTTTTTTTTTTTTTAACAGGATAAAGAGCGCAAATACTGGACACCTGGCAACCCTAGCCAGGAGGGATGTAAAAGAGTAGTCAATTCATTGACTACCCAATAAGGCTAGGCAAAAAGCATCTAGTCTAACCCCTCCCCCCATATCACAGGCAGCAAGGCATGGGGGGGAAGCCAGAGCTGGATAAAAAGCTCGTCTCTTGGGTGCCACTTTCCCCCACGCCCTGAGGGGTAGTAGTGCAGGAGGGCCAGGGGAGGCCACTGTGGCAGCACCCCCTGTTTGCAGGGGGTCTCAGCTCCCTGCTGGGATCCCCTGCAGACAGGGGTTGCTTGACCAGGCACGAACCGGGACTGAGCTAGTCCAGCTCAGTCCTGGCTTGCACTGGGTCCAGGACCTATCCCCTCTGTGGCTCTGCAGTTTAACTGTAGGAGGAGCCGGGCTGCCTGTGTGCCGGACTCTTACTATATTTAAACTACAGAGCTGCAGCAGGGATAGAAACTTCCCTTTGTGTTGACTACACAACTAGTCAATACAAATTGTATTGATTATATGATTATCCAATTACCCTCTTCTTAACATCCTTAGTTGCCAGACCAGAGAGGATCAACCTATACAGAGATGTGGCACAAATAACTAAGTTCAGCAAAATGTAAACAAGGATGACAGTCCTAGCCAGAAGTATATTAATATGAATTGTTGGACATCACAAATTTCTGCATTTCTATACTAGATATCTTTGCAGCAAAGGAGCACTAATCTCCAATTAAAACCCATACACTAAAATATGTTTCACAGCTACATGCCTCAATTACTCCAGTAGCAGCCCACATGCCCATGCCTTCTAGTGGCCCATTTTTTTACATAACTGAAACTATGAGTAAAGTTTTAAATTGGTGGAATTGTGAGAATGAAATCATTCCTCATCTTTCTTCTCTCCTCTGCTGTGCTGATTTTCTGATGAACAGCTCTCTGCGTGAAATGCAGTGTGAACATCTTTCAGTATGTTAAGCTCTCAGGCTATGACTACATTATGGTAACAAGCAGAATGCAGACACTGCTCAGCTAGCTTTGGCTTACACAGCAGCAGGGAGACACTGCTTGGGTGAGTACAGTACCCTAAAATGCCTGAATTCTCATGGTTTATACCCTAGTCAGTTTTTCCCCATGTCTACTCTGCTATTTTTAAAAGTGCAGTGTCCCATAGTCTATATGCTAGACACTTCACTACAGGTTGAAACTCTCTTAACCCAGGATTCTCTAGTCCGGCAACATCCATAGTCTGGCATGGATATTGCAGGACCAGAAAGTCTGGGTGGAGGGCCAGCGGTAAGGATCCCTGTGGAGCAGGCAGGGCAGTGGGCTGCCTGCAGGGAGTTGACTGTGGGGCCACCAAGTGCATGGCAGTGGGGCTGCCCAGGAATGCTGATGCTACAGCAGTGATTGCTGCCTAGCAGGGTTGGCAGAGCAGTGGGCCAGCAGGAGGCGGGGAGCCAGCTGGGAGGCCAAAGTCCGGGCAAGAGGGGGCCTGTGGCAGGGGTCCAAAAAGGACCTCCCTTGGTCTGACAAAATCCCTCATCTGGGACCGGTCAGGTCCCCAGGGTGCTAGACCAAGGAGGTCCAACCTGTACTAAAAGTAACACTGCCGACACAGGAGGCACTGGTTGGATGTGCAAACAGCCTTGTAGGGTACATGCCCTGGAGGTTCAAGGTACTCTACTGGAGGCATACAAGGTACTCTACTCATCTAAGATGCATCTTGCCTTGCTGCTAGGTATGTGGTGTCTGTACTACGGTTGTAAATGTAGATATAGCCCTAATAGCTCAGTCAGCAGATGAGTGAATACCCACTCACATAGTGTACGTTCACCCTCACTTCATATATTGAAAATAATATAGTCATAAAGAATATGATACCAGCAGCAATTAAACTATTTTGGCTGCTAATAAAGACATCTAGCTGTAAGGTAATGAATCCAAGATTATGTAGTTAGGAGCAATGGCTACATGTTCATTAACGTTAGGATTATTCTTTCCTTCTTACATCAGCATAGAGGAATTAATTCTTTTTAATCTTGAAATATTTCACTTCAAAAGCAATATAGACGCCATAGATCCTTGATCTATGAAATATAATTGATTTATACTCTGCTATAGGTATGCCCATTGATTTAGGCAAACAAGTCTTTAAGACAGGAACTGAACTGTCAGAAAAAGGAAGGAGGAA